TATATATATATATATATAGAGTCTCTTATGTTCAAAATTAATACAGTTTACTTGAATTATACCGGCTAAAAAGAGTCTATCTAAATATGTTAAAAAATATTTTAACTACGTTAAAAAATTGCGTTTTCGCTAGTCACATTGTAGTTCTTAATTTTTATCAGTTTCATACATATATACATATATGAAAAATTTATTCTTATTAAATTACCAATTTCGATGGAATGATTATTGTTGCGCGCAGTCGAAGAAATCATATGAAGTGTGAAAGCAGTGTACGCTAGTGGCTCAATACCAAAGTTGATATGCCAGAGACTCTGCAGCAACACATTACCCATCTGATTGAAATGCTCGTTCTTATTTCTATTTGCTAAGCAAGGAACGAAAACTTCTTCTAATATTCTTTGACAAAGAGCACGAGTTTCTTCAACAGTACCCGCGCAGATATTGAATCTAAAATAAATTTTCTTAAATTATGTAAATGAATTTGAGTGCATATTTGATCAAGAATTTAAATATCATGTCTTTGATAAACTATTTCACTAAAATATTTTAATAGAACTGAAATAAAATTAAGCTCAGATAGCAAATCAAACAAATAATACTAATAAACAATAATAATAATAAACACTACTGCAACAGAAGATAAATATGGGTACAAACTTGTCGTCCATTCCAAGCATACTACCAATAACCCTCCAGAGATGCACTACACCTTCCATTTCTTCAGGAGTGACACTTATTCCTACATATTTCTCACACACAATAATGTATCCGATAAATCCAAACTGGGCGAGTGCCATGTCCAATTGCGTTGGCTTATGAACTCCAGCCTTGGTGCTTCTTCTGAACGCAACACAATGTTTTCGACGTACAATTTTTAGGGATTCTAAAAATCTACAATTATTTATATGTAGCAATTGTACATAATATATACACTATAGAAATGAAAATTAAATTTTTTTGTATTATATTCTAATGCATAACAAGCATTTTTAAAGATAGTTATATTTAATTAATATATATATTATTTTATATT